AGATTTCATTTCAATTGTAGCCTAATTCTACCCCAATTTACCCCGATCCAATTCCTACTCATACCCGACCCTCAACCCAATTAAATGACCCACCCGGACTACCACCTAATCCCAGCCATTGATCGTTTAGATCAACAGCTCCTATGACCCCCTTCCTTTTTAACCCAAACGACCCCTTTCACCCTAATTCATTTCTCACATACCGCTGCCCCTGAATCCTCTTCTCTCTCAATTCTCTGCAACACCACCTAAACCCTAGAAGCCTCCACCCTAATCCACCTTGATATCTATCTAATCCATGGCCTTCCGAGGACATCGGAGACCTGTACCTGCCGTCCATGGTTCCTATGTGTTTGTCCTTATGGTTTCAAGGCCAGACTATGAAGAACTCTAGTCCAGCCTTCGTTCGATTTTAGTTCATGGCCCTTCTCCGGACATCTTTGACCTTTCTCCGGCCAGCCATGGCCATTCGAGTCAGACCTTTGACTCTCCTGGTTAGATCAGTAACTTTCAAGGCCTTTCTCGTTGCTTTTGGGTTCTTCTGAAACCCTAATCTCTAAGACCTTTTGATTTCTTTCAGATTTATTTTAGATCTATGCTTGCTTTGAACTTTTAAGCATTTTTCTCAAAGCGTCTTTAACTTTGCTTTCAAAACTCTTTATCTTTCCCGATTAGGGTTTTCTTGTTAAGTCATTTCAAATCTCTTCTCTGATTTTTGACATGTTTTGCTCGTGTTGTTCTTCTATCTGAGTTAGCATGCTGAAAATCCTAATTTCTTTTGGTTGTTAGTCAGGCGAGTACTTGTTTAGTTAAGTTTTGTCTGATTTGTTTATTTATCATCTTTTAAGCTCTGCTATTGTTGAGAAAAACTATGTCTTTGGGTTCGAAACTGTTCGCTTGAATACATGACTCGATTTGAAGTTCTTTTTTCTCTTTTTCCTTTATGTGATTCCTCTGACTCTGGGTTTATACTATCTTTAAAACTCGACTATGCTTGAAACCTTAACTTTTCAAAAGGTTTCTCATCTGTTACTGTGGGACCCTTGCATGCTTTTGATACACTATTTTTCTCCACTATCGCTTCAACTGGACTTGACCTATTTGACTATCATGCTTCAAATGTTTGCTATCTACTAAACTTTGTGCTACTACTGTATGCTGTCTCTTTTGCCAATGAATTTGGCCTCGCATGTCTGATGTCCGTACTCACCCTGTTTAAATATTGAAGTGCAAAAGAATGTTACTTCTTTGATTGATCTTCAATCTCGTGACCTATTTCAAAACCTTTATTTTACGAATTCTAATTTCACTCGCCTGTCAAGGTTAATTGATTCCTTTCCTTATTTTGCCTTGCTGAATCCTTTCCCAAAATAAGTATATTTCTGTACTTAGATTCGGTTGCTTATTAATGTTTTACTATTGCTTTTATGGCAATAATGAGTCCGCTTACAAACTGATTTTCTTTCCTTATTTTGAATCTGTTAGCCAAATGATTCCTCAATTAAAGGGAAATCACTTGGTTGATTGATTCTCACTATTGATTATTTCCATATTTGTATTGAACTTTACTTATTACCTTATTTTTCACATGTTTTTAAAGGCTATAAATACCCTGCACCCCTCTTCTTTCAAAGACGCGAACACAAGGAATACGAACACTTGAGTTCAGAACACACACTTCACTAAAAGCTCTCTCTCTCTCTCTCTCTTTTCTCTGTTACTGCTTATGTTGCTGCCTTATCTAGCCGGCTGAAAGCCAAGCCTAGGCTGAGGAAATTTGCCTGCTTTTCTTTTTGCATTTTTTTCTTTATTGGTATGTTCTGATTAATCTTCATCATCAACAAAAACATATTTATTTCCTGCACTCTTGCATGTTTCCTGCTTGTGTTTAATCGAGTTTCATTCCTAAGCATGCTATAATCTGCCCTTTCCTTTTCTGAATTAATATTTCCCTTATAAATGAACTCTGTCAGTTACTTATGAATCCCAAACCCCAATCCCCTATGTGTTTGTATTCTTTGGTTGGTTGAGGGCATGTCAGCATCAGACATTGTTGTACATGACCTAAACCTGACTAGATATTATGTCTATAGGAATTAAATTAGTAATAATCAGTGTTTATAGAATCTGAAATCAGACTAATCTAAAATCAGCTGTCCTCAACTAGTTTTTAAACAACTCTCTCACCTCCTATTAGTACGGTTTATAAAGCATGCCTGTAAGATTTCAAATCGTTCGTCTTTAATTGTTACTGCTTTGCCTCATTCCGGATAGATACCATGTCTATAAGATCTCACCTAAAAGCTTAGGCAAGCCTCAGGTGATAATAACCGTAAAATTGAATCCGCCTTTATTTAATCAATAATTGCTACAACCAGCAGGCAGGCCTGATTCAGACTTCTTATCTGAGTTATGTAATAAACTGGTCTGCCTCAACAAATTGGAATTCCCTTACCTTAGTATTCAGACTCTAAATGTGTGTTTCAGTCATGCTATTTATGTGTTTCACTTGAGGAGGTATACATGATCCTTTATTTGTTTACATGCTTCCCCCTAATGTGCAGTATTATGTGTTTTGTATGTCGCCTTAGATTTTTTCACCTTTTTGAAATCAAAAGTTAGCTTAATATCCCTTCCCTTTAGGAATAGTAGTCTTAAGTTCCTCCGGGACTGATAGGAATGGGACGAGTAATAGCATGCAATAGAGATTGAAACCAATCCGCGCTTTAATACCTTAACGGGGTGGGAATGGTAGATATGGATATGATGACGGGTGCGCTAATGCCACGTGTATCCCCTCTTCTGAGGAGTGTTATACCGGGTATTGCATTGATGTGATCCATATTATATATAAACCTAGGATCCCCTTTCCCTTTTTTATTTTCAAACTTCTTTTCAGAACTCTTCTTTTAGTTGTTCTTTCTAACTCTTATTTGTTCAAATTTAAATCCCCTCTTATTTGAGCCTTATTTGATTACTTGCTAATTGCATAAATTCACAATAAACTGTCTGGCCGGGAACCACACTAGTGGATCCTGAGGGGTATCTAACACCTTCCTCTTAGGATAATTTCAAGCTCTTACCCTATCTCTGGTTATCAACAAACTTAGAAGTGAACCCATATAGGTGTCCTAATGCACCTTAAAATCATTAGGTAGCGACTCTTCAAATGCAAAACCCAGTTCTCAAAAGGAATGAGTTGTCCCATACCAAATGTCACAAACCCGACCTCCCGATTGCACCAAGAGGGAAAAAAGGGGGCGTGACAGCATGACAACTCTGCTGGGGATATTTAGGCTTTTACCATTTCAAAATGTTATTGAGAATTTATACCTCTTTATGTGCAACTACTTGTTTAATTCCTTTAAGCATTCAATTTCCTTTTCAACTGCAAAACTAACTTGTCTTCTTTGTTTCTTTCCTTTACTATTGCTTTAAATTATGAAACTGCTGTATTTACTACTTTCTTAATGTGCAAATACATATCAACATGCTTTTAATTATTGCATAACCATGCTCAACATCATACTCCACTCGTGCCAAACAAAATACCATAGCAACGCTTATAATGAGTGGTTGCGCTCTTCCTATTATCACAACCTAAATTCGGAAAGGCATATTTGCGGTAAAACCAGTCGATCAGCGGTGCAGTCGACGGTTCCGTGCCTTCCCTATTGAGTTGTCCGCTCAAGGGTACCAATCTAAAACCCCATAGAAACCTTACTCTGTTCAAATTGTGCATGCATCATGGTCAAACCTAGTCGGGTCAGTTATGTTGTCCACATAATGATCCTTTAAGATAGCCTCGTCCAAAGTCCGCCGGGTTTCCCTAAACCCAAACGGACATCACCACGTTCTGTGCATTTATTTGGAGAACTAAATGTTTCATGCTAATTGTTGGTATTAAATAGTCGAGTCTGGTGGGGGTAAGGACCTAACCTTATTTGTCTTGCAGAAATATGAAGAACGAGGTCCCCAGCTTCGTTATGGTTAGCACACCCTCACTCTTGCTAGACTGATGGAGGGATCTTCCGTCAAATGGCCAAATCAATGAATGGAAAGAGAGGGCCGCCAAATCCAGCGAAAAGCTGGAATATCTAGAATACAGTCTGCTAGAATTGGAAGGAAAAGTGAGGAAGAGAGTCACCGACTGCCAGAACGCTGAAGGGAACGAAAGAGAACACCTGGCAAAGGCATTTTTACTGGTGAACTTACGCGACCTAGAGGATTTGATCAACGAGAGCATTCAACCTGAGGAAGGCCCTTCTGGGACCAAATAGATAGGAGTTTATCTTTTCGCTTTATAAGATGTAATAAGGCCAAGGGCCATTAGTGACTTTTTATTTCCTGTCAATTTGGGATTAGTCTATGTTTATCAATAAAATGAGGCATTTAGCATCCTAAGTTCTCCAAATCAATTTGTCGCTAGACCTACCTCAGGCACAATGAGGTCCCAAATTAGGACACGATTACTATCCCTACAAAAAAAATGACTTTAGCGACGGACGAATTCCGTAGCTAAATAGAATATTTTCGTCGCTAAACAGGTTTAGCGATGGAATAGCGACGGATTAATGTCCGTTGTTACTTTGCTCATAGCTAACCCTTTACTAACGAATTAGCTACGGTTGGTATCTATTGCTACTCTTAGCGACAACACATATCCGTCGCAATTATCATCAATTTTGTCGCCAAATCGATAAAACATTTCGTCGTCGGATTTAATTGGCGACGAATATTGTCTGTCGATAATTCGTCGCTAATGTTATTTAGACATATTTGCCTTTCTTTTGGCGACGAAATTTTTTTGTCGCAAATCTGCCTGTTATTCTATATTAGTTATAGCTACAAAAAAAAATCTATCGCAAATTATATTTTTCGCATTTTATTTAATAAAATACATATTGTTCAAGCATATATAATAAACTCTCAATAATAACTGAAATTCATAGAAATTAATTCTACAAGATCCAAAATTGATACTGAAATGCAAATTATAATTAAGATTAAAACATTTACAATACTAAAATTAAGTTCAAACAAAAATAGTTAATTACTGAGCAACTGGAGAGTAAAGGTCATCATCAGAAAACGATGCATGAACCTTGTTAATACCAAAACATCTACAATACTAAAATAAAGTTCAAATAAAAATAGTTAACTACAGAGAGACTGGAGAGTGAAGGTCATCATCAGAAAGCGATGCATGAACCTCGTTTATATTAGTTGTAGGAGGAGGAGGAACTAGAGGTGCCATAGCTGATGGGTGATCAGTATGATTATCTTGCACATGTGATGGTGAAGCTATCAATCCTCTTACTCGCTCAGCCAACACAAGAAGCATGTTATCAATCAGTACAGGAACCATATGATCAGTCAATGCAGGAATCAATCGCATCACTAACTCATCCAAATTCGCCATCGGTGCTGACTGAGCATTCGGAGGTGCTGCTGATGAAGAAGCATTAGATCCAGAAGAGGCATGAAGATTCGGCCCAAAGAAATATTTTGCTCGAGATCCAAGACCATATATTCTCTTCTTTTCCCCTCCTGCAGCTTGATAAAATGCTAAAGATTGATCAATCTTAGATTGAGTTTGTGTTTGTAGCTTGTAATATTTGCTGGTATTTTTCCTGTAAATACCATAATAATTAGTGAAATTCATTAATGATGAAGATCAACATTAGGGAAAAAGAAACGATGAAAGCATAAATAACTTAACTGTTAAGTTCTTCATTCAAACAAAAGTTAGCAAAAATCATCTTTAGGACTGAAATAGGTGCTAAACAAGTAAATGTCATATACAAAGTTAGTAAAATTATAGGATTTTGGACTTACATGTACAAGTCGGGATTGCTCACTAACAAAAGATTTTTCATCATGACCATGTGTATGGACGTGCAAGTGTAGCTCACTTGGTGTTGGATCTCGACCCTTTTCAATAGCCTATACAAAAAATAAAGAACTTTATTTCCTTTGGTAAAGTGAAACAATTTACTAATGGAGGCACCAAGAAGGTATACAACAGCACACTTCTTGGAGATATTGGTGCTGAACAATCTAGTCTAGTTCTAACTTTTGTTAAAGGATAATCTATACTATATTAAAAGCACGAAGGCCCTTAACGAAATGTCGTTCGCCTTTTTTGTCATTTAAAAATAGAGTTCACATTGGATAAGATTGTAATTAATTATTTTTCTAATATTTAGGATTTTAAAATAAAATAATTTTTTCTTATTAAATTTTCCTTATTTGATCTATGTAGACTCCTAATATTTAGGAATTTGAGATTGCGTAAAATTTTACCTCGAAATTTTCTATAAATAAGGCCAAATAATAACATCTCACTTTTAAGCTCCTTTCACGTTAACTTATAGATAAATAAAAAATTTGATTCTCATAATATTTACAAATTCTAAAATATATAATTTTTAAGTGGTTCATATAAAAGCAAGGAGGCCAACGAAAATTAAAAAAGCATAAGCACAAAAAATCTATGTGGCTATATCAACAAATTAATCTAAGTGTTTTGTTAAATCGCTTTTGTTATTTTTTTTTTATCTTTCTTCACCTTTAATGTCAAAATATATTTTAAAAGGGATCCTCTATAGTTCTCCCTTTAAAATATATTTTGCACTAGACAAAATAGAATATCCTTTGAAATTTGGTTATTAAATTTTTCCTAATTTGAATTTTATACTTAAAAATTAGGACTTTAAATCAATTAAATTTTACCTTAAATAAATAGTTTAAAAGTCAACTATTTGAAGCGTTAATTTTTATTATCCCATCCTTATTGAATTGATAGGTTAATTACCTATTTCATTGTCTTTGTTTTGCAAACATCTACAATCCTTTGATCATAAAAAAGATAATTTATTTTATTTTGAATTTCTAAAATGACAAACAACTTGAGACGAAAAGAGTATATTTTTTATTGGTAGCGCGAGGCACACGTACACAAAAACTAGTTTATTGAATTTCAGGTAGGTTCTTGGTTTACCATTTGATAAGTGTAGCTGCTCCTCTGTTATGTGTAGGAATCAACTATTGGTGCAGCATTTTTCTCAACAGTAGCAGTAAATGATGCTACTGTAAAATTTAAAATATGGGAGACAGCAGACCAAGAGAGATACCACATTCTTGCTCCAAAGTATTACAGAGGAGCTGCAGCTGCCTCGAGTCATATCTGTAAAAAAAATAGTGATAAGCAAATTGAAAAAGTAGCAAGCAGTACATGGTCATACACCTTAATAGATTCAAATGTGGAATTGAATGAATTGAAGAATAATTTTGCCTTCAAATGTGGTATGTTAGTTACATGTCAGTTCTTGCATGCCTAATGTCATTTTGACCAGATAAGTTTAAGAAGCTAACATCGTGGCTCCACAAATGTTGTCTCGTTGGTAGGAGCTGAAATTCATCACTAATAATTAGAGGAAATCATAAAACAGAAGGATTTTGGTGGGAGTTGATTGGAGATGTAACAGATACTATTAAATTGATACACGTATGGTTGGTTGGGCGTGTTTGTGAACAAAATAATTGATCCCAAAATGCACCATGCAGGAAGAGGAAATTAACCAGAACTTTATACTTAATAAAAAAAGTGAAGGTTAAGATGTATAATGAGGAAAGCCAGTTTGATATTTTATGTCTTTGCACGATCGTCTTATAATTAATTGTTTGAAACACAAAAATATCCACTTACATTTTCTTCCCTAGAGTAAACCTCATGCTTAATTGTTGTGATATATATAAGCTTTCGGAACTTGGTACTTTATCCCAAAAATGGAGTAAAAACTTAGTTGCTAAGACAAATTAATCAACTATTTTAGAAGCCTAAACAGGATAATGAAGCAATTAAGAAGTTGAACAATCATGCAAGCCTTAAGGACACAACAATGAAACATACTGTGCTTTCAGCATCATAGTATTAGTACGCACGCCTGTAATATCATAGATACATAATTTTACGATCTATTGTGTTAGAAATACATCTAAACCTGTTGAATTTATCTTGAAATATGTGAGTGCAGTTTTTGATCAACATGAACGAAGTATATAAATAGCATCAGAGATTCAATTGTGAATTACTCTTGAGAAGCAACACTAGGTGAAATTAGTGCAGGTGAATACCTGAAAGTCAGAAGGTTTTTTATACCTGTGGTTGGATCTTAAATACATCATAACATCACAAATACATCATAAAGCTAATGTAATCTATGTGAATATAATTAGATAACTAAAAATTATCTCGCTTCCCTAGCATTCACTATATGTAAGATTAACCATTTGTGAAAAAGCTAAAATTCTTAATAACATTGACATTTCATTTTAAGAGAGCGCTAATAAGAACAAGAAAAGAAGAGAGAGAGAGAGAAACAACAACAACGACCCAGTATAATCCCACAAGTGGGGTCTGGGAGAGAGAGAGAGAAAGCGACAATAAAATATGTCAACAAAATAAATTAAGATATATTTATAATTTCATAGAAATATACCAATACCTTAACTAATCCATGAGGAATCTTTGAGATTGTTTCGTTCCTTTTCCTGAAATAAAGCTGAACAAATATAAATTTAGTCAGATGCATGCAAAAAAAATACCACAGAGATTTATTTTGCAATATGTAGAACCATAAAGGTACTAATAAATTTATTACAGATATTATATTCCTGTTTCTAGCTAGTTTCATAAGACGAAATCAGGTATTGATGCAAAAAGCTACACAATTCATATGTCAAGAAAATAGGAAAAGAATGACAGTCACGATCATGAAAAGGCTACGTATAAAGGCAAATCTTCTAAGAAATAACAAGGTGATTTAAGGACTTTATTGGATGAAAAGAAGAAGGCTGATATGGTGTCGTCTACGGTTAATGGTGGTGATCATATGACAGAGAAGATGAATGTATGAGGAACGGGCTGGGAATCATCAAAACTCAATGTCACAATTGTTTGAGTTGCTGAAGTTCGAGTGGAGCATGTGGTTTCTTAGAGTAGACCAGCTGATCGGGTTGCTGTTACAGGTGTTAAGGAAGCTGTTAAAATGTGCCTAATGTAGTTGTAGTTCAAATTGAAACTGGACAAATTATTGAAAAGAAAATATCTGGTGAAAATATTATGCTGAGAAGTACGGATGAACGAAAAACTTATGATAAATCTAAAGCTCCTAGGGATATTCCTGCAGCTACTGCTTTGGCGAGCAGGTGAATGCTACTAATGTTGCTTGCCTGCTTGGGATGTCGATCAATCAATTACACTTAAAAAATGGATGTGGAAGCTGAGCAATCAGGCCACCATAGGGATATAGAAGCAAATGTGCAGGCTGGAAATCTGTTGCAACAGGAAAAGGAAAAAATTGGACATGAAAGTTTTCAAGTGGCTGAACATTCCAGTAGCATTTCGGCTGGGAAGATTGGTGCATCTACAGCTAGCTTGAATGCCTATAAATTGAGCAACAATGAGGAGAAAAATATGGAGGAATGATGGACTCCAGTAGCTTGCAAAAAGACTGCTTTTTACACCTTTGAGTTGGATGAAAGCAAACTGATGAATGATGATAGTCCTTAACTAGATTGATGTGATTCATTATTTTTGTTCTGTTGTTGTTTCAACTCAATTAATTGGTTTAACAAATGCTTTGGTTAGATGAGATTATGTCTTGGATCCTACTGAGAGCTCCATTTTTCTGTCTCTTGTCTTTTAATCTTCTCTACAAATGTAAAATTTTAACCAAATATTTTAATAACAGCCGAAGCAAATACCCGAGATCAAGGATTTCCTTCTCACAGCTAGAAGGAAGGATGCACGTTCAGTCAAGATAAAGAAGAACAAGGATAAGGTGTTATAAATCCTACGTTAAAAAAAGATTTTGTTCTATGTTGTTCTCATATGCTTTTTTAATTGTTTTCAAGTAAATGCAATTCTTAGTAGCAAAACTAGGAATAAAAGACAAGAAAAAATGATCTGTGACTACTGGGTATTATCAATCCTACGCTAAGAAACTCCTTACATGATATACAGGAGGTATAAAAGAGTAGCAGAACTCCAAGACTACTAGTGCTCGAGTGAAGAACTGGTTACTGGGTAGATGCTGGAACTGGTTGATGTCAAAGCAGTCTCAAAAGCAGGAAAAAACAACGTGAAAGTTCAGCAACAATGTAGAGTTTTGCAGCACTTCGCCTTGAAGAAATTGGAAACCACGCAGATCTCAAAACACCTAAATTAGATTTTAATAACCAAATATCACCAAAATTGGTATTAATCAAGAGTTCAACACAAAAGAAACCTCCAAATCAGATTTTACCAACAATAAATCGTAATAAAAATACATATTTATGCACAAATGAGATATACCCAAAAATGTCAACCTCTACTTCATATTTAAGTTCACATACTACACAGAAAAGGGGGGAAGAGACGAAAGCTTGATTTATTTTACATCTACCAAAGCCCTTAAAAATTTTAATGTAGAAAAATTGCTAATAAACAGAGAAAGAAGCAGAGAGATACCAGTATTTTAGAAAAGAGTTGATGTAGTGACGCATCTGGGAAAATTAATCAAAGATTAGAGGAGAAGAAGAAGAAGAAGACGAAGCAGCAAAGGGGCTGGTTTCTTAGTGTAGTCTTCTGTGAGAAAGAAAGACCTTATTTTTTGGAAAGGGGCTAGTTTTTCGCTAAAGCAGAACACTTATTTTGATGTAACTTTTTTTCCCTAAATACCTAGCGACAAAAACTTTCCGTAGCAACAAGGGTAAAGATACTCTCATTAATGAAAAATATTAGCGACATACACATCCGTCGCTACATCCGTCGCTAATATGTAATAAATTTTGTCACCAAATATTCCTCGCTTATTTCCTTGCTAAAACGAGGGCGCCAATTTGTAGCGCCCATTTTTAGCGACGGAATTTTCATTTTATCGCTAATTTATCGCTACATTAGATACTAATTATTCTATATACCTTTTTGCGATAAAGCTCTATTTTCGTAGTTAATTCGTTGCTAAGTAGCGACGGGGACATATTTGTCGCAAGAATCCGTCGCTAGAGTTTTTTTTGTAGTGTATGTGTTTAAATATTACAATATTTCCTATAATCCTTACTAACTTGGATACCTTTTTGCTTTTACTTTTTGTTTTACTATTCTCACCCCCAAAGGTTAGTTCGTGCACTGTGGCAACATCATCCTATTCCACGAGATCCAGGGGCCCTCCACCCACTCCTCCTCTTAGTCCTGTCAAAAACAAGAACAAAGACAAAATGGAAGATTTGAACAACGTCAGAAGGGAGAATGCAACTGAACGGGTAGAGGCCGCCAATGGTTATGGTACTCAGGAAAATGTATCCCAACTTGAACAGAAATTGCTGAAATTCCAGGAAGAACTCGATCAGGTTCGGAATCTCGCAAGCTTGTCATTTTCCCTCAGCACCCCGAATATCACCTTTCCCAATACTCAAAACCCTAGACCACCTCAAAACATCCCCAAGCAACAGAGTCATTCCGCTCCCTCCACTGTTCCACCGAAGACCCAATGCAATACTTGTCATTCCCCAAACAATACTCCATTACTCATCTCAGAACCCCAAAACTCCACAAATGACCTCTTTCACACCCACCATAACACCCCCATCTATGTGGAGACCATGCCACACTCCACCCAACCCATCTCAAGCACACCCTAGTCTGATGATAAAGGCTTCCTCATCAGGAACCTGGCTGAGGAACTGCTAGCTGGATTCAAGGCGTTGAAGGAAATAAGGGAGTTAAGAGGTTGAACTATGATGATCTTTGCATACAACCCGATGTAGAACTTCCCGAGGGGTACAAACCTCCGAAGTTCGAAATGTTTGATGGTACATGGGATCCAAGGGTCCATTTAAGAACGTACTGTGACAAGCTGGTTGGAGTAGGGAAAGACGAGAGAATCCGCATGAAGCTTTTCATGAGGAGTTTGAAAGGAGATGCTTTGTCTTGGTACATTAGCCAAAATCCAAAGAAGTGGTCAAGTTGGGTAAGCATGGCGTCCGACTTTATGGACAGGTTCAGGTTTAACACAGAAAATGCGTCGGATGTGTTCTATATTCAGAATCTAAAGAAGAAGCCTACGGAAATGTTTCACAAGTATGCTACTCACTGGAGGTCCGAAGCTGCTAAGGTCAGACCTGTTCTAGAGGAGGAACAGATGAACAAATTCTTTGTCCGGGCTCAAGACCCGCAGTTTTATAAATGCCTGATGATGATTGAAAGCCATAAATTATTCGACATCATCAAACTGGGTGAAAGAATTGAAGAAGGTATCAAAAGCGGTATGGTTACAAACTTTGAGGCCTTGCAAGCTACAAATAAGGCCTTGCAGTCTGGTGGTGTGTCCAAGAAAAGGTACATAGGAGCCGTGATGGTTGCACAAAGGACCAAATCTCCTATCAAATACCAAACTTACCCAACACCTCCACTAACATATCAGCCTACTCCGAACTACCAAGCACCATCACCCTCTTACCAAGCTCCACCACCACCTTATCAATCACCACCACCCCCACCTCCTACATATCAGCCTACTTTGCCCGGATATTCCCAACCTACACATGTCTACCAAACTTACAATGCTCAACCATCCCACTATCAGTCACCTCCTGCCCCGTCAAAACTTTCCTAGACCCCGGCCAAACATTGATCGAAGACCTCCGAAATAATATACAGCCATAGTTGAACCTATTGACCAGTTGTACAAGAGACTCAAAGCTGCTGGTTATGTTACCCCCATCCCTGATGCAACTCCTGAGAACCCTTCTCAGTGTGTTAACCCAAACAAATCCTGTGCATACCATTCCGGCATGAAAGGGCACACTATCGACTAATGTCGTTCCTTGAAAGACAAGATCCAGACTTTAATTGATAACAAGATTATTGTGGCAAAGGAACCCGCTCCAAATGTCCGCAAAAATCCTCTACCCGATCATAAGGGCGGAGGCATTCACATGATTGAAATAGAGGATGAATGGGATCTCGAGGGATTAATCGGGTTGATCGCATAAGGCGATAACCCAAAGAAGCTGATAGTTACTCTTAATCCAATCATAGTCCAGATTCAGCCATCTAGGGACGCTAAGGTAAATATGTTTGTGCCACTTGAGTTTGAAGCAACGTCATCTTCAAAAACATTAGCAACAAATTGAGGTCGAATTCATGTCTCCGGCAAATGCACCCGCACCGCTTGAAGTTGCAATTTTACCACCTAAGGTGCATGCTCCGTTCGGAGTAAGGACAGCCACACCAATCCCAGTGGCAATGTCGACCATGACACCATTCCATACAAAGGCTATACCATGGGACTATACAGCCGAGGCAAGGAGGAAAGGCAAGGTTAGGTTCAAAGAAACTATTGCGGCACAGGGTATGACAAGAATTGGTAGAGTTTATACCCCGGAATATCTGACTGAGTCAAGCAAACTAGCTTTCAATCGGTCACCCATCATTAAGACAGGTCCAAACGATCTTTGGAGAAAGATACAAGCCAAGGAATACTCGGTCATTGACTAGTTGAACAAAACACCAACAAATCTCCATTCTTGCTTTGTTACAAAATTCTGAGGCACACAAGAATGCTCTGTTAAGGGTACTAAGTGAGGCATACGTACCAATCAACATCATTGGTGGATAAATGGCTAAAATGGTAGGACAAGTGCTGGAGAGTCATAAGATCACATTTCATGAGGACGAGCTGCCACCTGAAGGGTTGGGACACAACAAAGCACTACACATCACTGTGCAATGCGAGGACTACTTCATCACTAGGATCCTGATCGACGGTGGTTCCAGTCTCAACATTTGTCTGCTGGTAACACTTAAGAAGCTGGGTAAAGGACTATACAAGATAAAGGACGGATCCATCAACATGAAATCCTTCGACAGTTCCTAAATGTCCACTATTGGGGAGATTAGTCTATGCTTGCAAGTGGGGCCAACTTGGTTCGATGTTGATTACCAGGTGATAGATGTGCCAGCATCCTATAATTTGTTGTTGGGACGGCCATGGATTCATGCTGCTGGGGCTGTAGCATCAACACTGCATCAGGCCGTAAAGTTTGAGTGGAATCATCAAGAGGTGATCATTCACGGCGACGGTAGCAACCCTATATATAGTCGACAGGCCATTCCATCAATCGAAGGAATAAGGAAGCTAGGTGGAGAGACTCACCACCACATTGAACGGGTAAATGTTGTTGACAGAGACAAATGGTGGGATAACAAGATCGAAAGCATACTGAATTGGAGTGGGTATGAACCTAGCAAAGGGCTCGGCAAGAACCTCCAAGGAATCACTAAGCCCATAAAGCTCAAGAAACATGGAACTACTTTCGGTCTGGGATATGAGTACACCTGGGAAGAATTCAACAACTGGTTGCCACTATGGCGCGGACCTTACTATACACTGGAGCAGTCAATACCGCATCTGGAGCAGACCTTCCAACCAACCGATATTATTTATGGGTCAAATGAAGAAGAAGCACTAGCATCGATGGAGAACTTGTTCCTAGAAGAAAATGATATGGTATGTTGCGTTGTTCTCGAGGAGGAGGGGGAGGAAGGTCCTTCCATATAGGTTGTAAGTAGAGGGGCACGCCTCAATAACTGGACTATCAGGACAGCCAAAGCCTGATAAGTCTCGAGGTAGAAAGGCTAAAACAAGCATCATGCATTGTTTTATTTACTAAATGATTTTCTTCTCGCATTTTTATTCTCCGCAATAAGATCTTTGATGTTCAAGACAATTAGGAATTTATCAAAGCATTTTGCCTTTTCTTATGAATCAACACTCATTATTCTTCTTCTTTCATTACTTTACTTATACAATATTACTATTACTTATCTTGATGAACCAATAACTATGACATACAACGAGACAACACAACAAACGGACATTGATTTAGAGGAAGATGACATACTAGAAGAGATTGTTAAAAAAGTGGAGAATTTTGAAAACAGACCTAAGTCCAACTTGAACGAGACCGAAATTGTTAACATGGGAGATGCAGAGAATGTCAAGGAAACACGAGTCAGCGTTCACCTGTCACCATCAGAAAAGAAAGAATACACAAAATTCCTGAAAGAGTATGAGGACATATTCGCCTGGTCGTATGATGACATGACTGGTGTGAGTACATCTATTGTGGCTCACAAACTGCCAACCGATCCAACATGTCCGCCGGAAAAGCAAAAGCTCAGAAAGTTCAATCCTGATATGAGTTTGAAAATCAAGGAAGAAGTCATTAAGCAAGTCAAAGCTAAGGTTCTCAAGGTAGTAGAATACCCGACATGGTTATCCAACATCGTGCCAGTGCAAAAGAAGGATGGGAAGGTCAGAGTTTGTGTCGACTATTAGGATCTCAACCGGGCCAGTCCGAAAGACGATTTCCCTTTGCCGAATATACACATCTTGATTGACAATTGCGCCAAGCATGAGCTGCAGTCATTTGTAGATTGTTTTGCTGGTTATCATTAGATCTGGATAGATTAAGAAGATGCTGAGAAAATGACTTTCATTATGCCGTGAAGAATGTACTGTTACAAGATGATGTCGTTCGGCCTGAAGAATGCAGGGCCACCTATATGAGGGCCATGACTACCATTTTTCATGATATAATACACAAGGAGATTGAGGCATATGTAGATGATGTCATCATCAAGTCTAAGAAGGCCACTGATCACGTGGAAGATTTGAGGATGTTCTTC